CCCAACGAGTGGCACGTCCACGAGCTGCGGCAGATGCTGGCGCCCACTCTACAAAAGCTTGACAGATACAAGAGCAACCGGTGGCGGAAGGCTCGAGATAAACTCCAGAGCGCGGTCCTCGGAAACCACCACGACCCGCAGGAGAACTCTGTCGCGGTCCCGGCGCACCTGATTTCAGGCCTGTTAGGGCCGGATGAGAAGCTCTGGATCTTAGATCTCCAGCGCCGGCCGGGCGTGGAGATCCGTGTCTGGGATGATTCGATCCACTTGGAGACCTTCGACGACACCAGCGGCATGGGCATGTATGTTGGGGAGAAACCACCTCCTGAGCACACCGCGCTCCTCCCTCACAAGAAGCTGAATCCTTTCTTTCGGATGCCCGGTTCGAATAAGACGACGACAAGGGAGAGGCCCCAAGGCCACCCGTCGGATAACTACGTCGCCCTCTCGTACGCCTGGGGCCCGCTAGAACCGACGGCCGAGATCATGGTGAACGGGAGGGCAGTCCAGGTGAGGGCGAATCTAGAAGCAGCCCTGCGGCAGTTTACGACGATGGACTACTTCTCTCGCGGCGGGAAGATATGGATCGACTCCCTCTGCGTCAACCAGGAGGACGAGGCGGAAAAGCAGGTCCAGGTGCAGATGATGGCCTCGATCTATAGCCACGCCGGAAATGTCATGGTGTGGCTCGGTGTCGAGACAGAAGACAGCGACCTCGCCATCTCATATCTCGAGATGACGGGCAACGACTACCGGGCCGAGTACGCGGAGGCCATGGACGAGACCGACGCCTTCACGGCTACGAACTGGCGCACCATGGCCCAGGTCCGCATGGAGGTGAGCTACGACGACTTCCGGAAGGCAAATATTGCCGATAGCGGCTGGCTCGATCATTTTTCTCCGGCGCTGTATGACTTCTTCGACCGCCCGTACTGGCGGCGTCTCTGGATTATCCAGGAGCTCTGTTTTGGCCGCGCCGGTATGCCGGTCGTGTGCGGCAAGCGCGTCACGCAGTGGCGATACATCCGTGACGGGATCCTGAAATACACCTCCATCCTCGACCTGATCGATGAAGTGACGCAGGAGAAGCTGATGAGCAGGGACGAACAGCCGCCGCGGGAGCAATCTCTCCTTCATGTGGCGCAGATTGCCCAGTTGGAAATCGCAGGCCACAAGAAGAAGCTCCCTCTGGTACCCAAAGATAAACTCTACCTCGTCGTCCCGACCTTCTTCGAGAATGGGCCGTTGCTAGGCAGCGCCATCCGGAGAGCCATCGCTCTCGCCTCTCAGTCCGCGTGTTCCGTTCCCCACGACCGTATTTACGGCATGCTGCAGATCCTGGGCTTGCCGGATCTGGGTATTCAAGTTGACTATTCCAAGCGGCTGGTCGACGTCTTTGTCGAGTTCAGCACGGCGTGTGTCAAGCTTGCAAACCTAGATTTCTTTGCGCTCTTGGACGGCGGTTATATGTCACAGACCGACGAGCACGGCCGCCCCCAGGATAAAAAAAAGCCGTCCTAGGTCCCCGACCACGGCGCGAAACCCGGACGGAGGATTGGGATCCTCGAGGGAGAATGGCATGCCGGCGGCCGCGTACCGCTGAGCTGTTATCCTCCGGTGATAGGTGAACAAGGATATCTCATCTGTCGTGGCAAAGTTGTTGATGAGGTAGATGGTGTAGGCGCCATGTCGCGGGCTGATATTGAGTTGGGGGGGATGCAGTTTCCAGATGGAGATGATGGATTCACTGCCCTGAGCCAACCCAAAAATACAGGAGAGGATTCCACGGCAGGGCGAGATCCCATGATCTACGATGTCCTGGTCGGAGGGAGTGGAAGGATGGGTGAGAAGGCACCCGAGTCCTTCAACTGTCTCTACCATGCCTTCCCCGTTGAGGAGCCACCGAAAAACTCCCCATTCTACCGCAGCTGGCATTTCCTCCACTCGAGCGCCGACTTCCTGGTTAACGGCCGTCCACTGGCCTCATACTTCTCCCATATGGCCTTGCCCAGCGATCCGAATCTGACGGGCGTGGACAAGATGAGCACTGCTGCCGCGCGCCAGGCGATGACAGCCCGGACCAAGATGCGCCGGCTCATCGTCACGAAGTCGGGCCTGCTCGGACTCGCCCCAGTGCAGACGCAGCCTGGCGACGCTGTTATTGCCATCGCGGGCTACGGCAAGCCCGTCATCGCCCGCAAAGTCGACACGATCGAGGGCCAGGACTTTTGGTATCTCATCGGTGAGGCGTACGTGCGCGGCATGATGAATTCGGAGAAGCTCCAGCTATCGACGAAACCATGGTACTATCAGACGACTCAGGCGACCGAAGACACGATGGAGTTTCTGCCGTTCGTTTAGTGCTTCATCTACGCTCGCATTTTGTAAAAGGGTAATAATTAATAGACAGCGTGAGAGGAAGAAATGAGAGGAGGTGAGGTGTGAGTAGGAAGTTGTGTTGAGATGAAAACCTCCATTTTGTGATAGTTCTTCGAAGAGGCATTTGCCTAGCCAAACTATCCTTACCTAGGTACACACCTAGGAGTCTAAAATAGATTCTTGGATAAATTCTTGAACCTTGTCTTAATTTAGGCAAGGGGGCTGTTCCGACCCCCTTGACTACTCTTGCTCAACTAGGCTTGTTTACCCACAGCTCAGGCTTGCTCATCCATAGCTCTCTTTAAAGCAGCGTCTGCTCAGGTTCAGAGACGGAACAGAAACTTCTCGTGTCAGATTACCGACATGATATGGCTGTGATACGTGCTTGCAAGAAAACCTTGTCCGTCAGGATGCTACCAAATGTTTCTTACGTTCCCTTTGACCTCGCCTGGCCCAAGGGGTTGCCACATGGTTCCATGGGGGTGGCTTGCGTTATCACTTAGAAAGACCAACTCCTCTTCTAGCCTCCAATGAGAGATAGACAGCGAGGGCCCACAATGCGAATTTGGCTATTTTGCTACTACTTTTCTTATTTCTCACCCCCTTTTCCATTTAATTGAGGTTAGTCAGGTGATCGGAGGCTTGGGGCACAATTAAAGGAGATACCTCCGAACGAACCACTTGTTTTATAGCGGATCAAATGGAGCCTTCATCCATTCGATGCATAAAGCTGATTGGAGCAGACCCGCCATCTCTGTGGGGAACCCCACGAAATTAACTGGAAAGCTTAATGCATAGGGCGTTTTAATGACTTGATCGGTACAGAGCTCCCGTCCGTCTGGGTGGGTACCTATTCGGAAGAACAAATAGTTTTGCTGCCACGTTTCCTGGGGGAGGATTAAATCACTCAATCAGTGCATGCCAGCCGCCCCACTGGGAAGCAAAGCACGAATAATTCGCAAGCATCGGAACATCCCAGGGTTCGAGACGTTATCTGCCGTTTCTCTAGGGTTTATTCTCGGCCTCTCCGGCCCTTTTCCGTGCCTGACAGTTCCGGAGCAACCAATGGGCAAAGCCACTGGCTTCGATCATTCGTCTTCTCATCCTGGGATTGGGGGCCTGAAACTTGGAGATCCCGCTCGGCAGCGGCATGACCCCTGGCATCGCTGTCCCGCATGCACGCGAAGGATGCCCCGCATGAACATGGCTGAGAAATCTAGGCGACGACGCACTCCTAAACAAGGGAAACACCAATCGTGCCTGGAAAGAAAAGCCACTTGGAAGGGATGTTTAAAACATGCTGGAACTTCGAGAGTGTTTAGCTTACGTTTGCAGTATGTATGCCGCATTCACAGCTTCGAAAGGGACTTGGTGGCTAAGGCACAGTGCATGGCAAGAGACGATAGTGGATCGCTTTAGGGCTTGGTGGCTAGGGCCTAACACATCGAGAGCCATGATTGCCGTACTCAAAGACCGCAGCCGCAAGATTTTCATGTCCCTCTTCTGGTCAGGGATCGTTATCATCATCGCCGTCCGCACCGGGATTCTCACCGAACGCGCTAGAGACATTCTCCAGAATACCAGCAGCCGTCAAAGCACAATCGATCATCTACACAATGTATACTTCGGCACAATCGCACTCGTCGAATGCACAAGTGCTTTCTTCCTGTTAAAGAAATTGGCTTTCGCACATAAGACATCCATCGAAGCTGCATCGGGTCACAAACTCTTCGCGTACCTCATGAGAAGCACGGAAATTAGAGTGGCTATGCTAGCATTGATTGGCTTTTCGCGCACTATAACGTATTCGTTCCAGACTACAGCGCAGTCGGCGACGACTACAGCCGGACAGTTGGATAGGTTTGTCACTACGCTGGAGTGTCTATTCCCCGAAATGATGTTGTAAGACCACCCGTCCTTCCTTGATAATAATAACAGCTCACCATAATCGTAGCATCGACATCCTCGCCTCGCGACTAATCTTCAACAATCGCATTCACGAAAGCTCGTCCCACAGCCGCAGCCAACATTTTACCAACCAACCCCACAAGAATGGAAATACCACACCAGGGTTTGAAGACATAACCATGTATCCTGTTGGACATGTCGAGACGAGAATTGATGCAAGAGGTATTGTGTCGACGTCGCAGGAACAGATTATCGACAGGTCGAACTCGAGATTTGATGGTAGGAGCAGTGGGGAGGAGAGTCAGCATAAGGGCGCAGCAGGCAACATTGTTAAGACCGTTGAGTTTGAGTTTCATGATTCTGCTGTTTGAATAGGATTATGCGTTGATGCTGGAATGTATTATGTATAATATGGCGGCGTACTCGTGTGGGTTTCAGGGCCAAAGCGAATATGATGGTCAGTTTCTGAACTATAGAATCCAAATTTGTACACAAGATATCGAGTATGCTTGAATGAAGTCCTGTTTCTTACAGAAATGCGCTCTATGCGTCTAAGTCAATGAAGATAATGCTGCAGGTAGACCGAGCTTTCGCGCTTACTACTACCCCTGAACCCCTATTATAAGCGAGACTGCCTATTCATAGTTCTCCTCCCGAAGATGTAACTAGGTAGTATATCTATCAAATTAAGCATATATTTCCGTCAATCTAAAGGGGGCGTGGCTCAACGGTAGAGCACACAGTGAACATCAAATATGGCTGGTCGGCAGTAATGAGATCTAAACCATGTTTGGTTTCCGAACTTCTGTGACGTGCTGGTTCGAATCCAGCCGTCTCCAAAACAACTCCTTTTTTGCCATTGTTTTTGTTTGTTTAACTAATTAATCTTTATTGAAAACTCGGGGATATTTGCATACCTATACTCTATATTATAATGAGAAGAGCGAATGGTTCGCATCGGTTTTAGCACTAACCACCTCAGGGGTAATAGTCAAAGTTCACGTGATATCACCACAACACTGTCTGGCGCCTTCTGAGATCCGAGAGACCCAATGGATATTTCACAACAGCGTCTATTCTATTTTGGCTGTACCTTTTTGTTCGATGGGCTGCATCACGTGATACACATCACCCCACATCAAACCCCTGCAGGCCCGACGACGGAAAAGAAAAATCGATTGCAGCGCCGATAACGCTAAGATTGCGCTGCGGGTGACGCATAAGAAATTCCCTCGACCAGCTCCCTTCTCTTCTCTCCTCCTTTGGTCCTCATCGCAGCATTCAAATTCTCTGCAATGGCTCTGCGAATATCAGCAAAGCGAGTAGCGGCTACTCTGAAAGCCAGCAGCGTGTCCTCGTCACCCAATTGCATCGTCAAGAGGAATGCCTCACAAGCAGTTGCAGCAGCAACAAATCTCTCAGAGGGAATCCGCAATGAGATCTATGTTAGTACGCCTCCTCTGTCTACTGGCAATTGACTGATTATTATCTGCAGCGAGATGCTCAACTCTCAAACCCAGATCCAGCCTCCGACTCTGCCACTGCAGCCCTCGTCAACGAGCAAGCTCCCTTCATGGTGAAGACCTACGTCCGCCCACCTCCAATGTTTGTCAAGGGTGAGGGGATGTATCTCTGGGATGTCGAGAACAGAAAATATCTCGATTTCACAGCCGGGATAGCAGTCAATGCCCTCGGGCACTGCGATCCTGAGATAACCAAGATAATCGCGCAGCAAGTAAGAAAACACTCTTTACCCCACCCATACTCCTCTGACTCAACCTCACCAGGCCAAAACTCTAATGCACACCTCGAACCTCTATCACAACCCCTGGACTGGTGCCCTGTCCCAGATACTCATACAAAAGACAGTCGAGTCAGGCTCCATGCACGACGCCTCTGCAGTCTTCGTCTGCAACTCTGGCACCGAATCCAACGAAGCCGCCATCAAATTCGCGCGAAAAGTTGGCAAGGTCCTCGATCCCTCTGGCGAGAAATACGAGTTCGTGTCTTTCAATGGCTCATTTCATGGCCGAACAATGGGCGCACTGTCCGCGACACCGAACCCGAAGTACCAGAAGCCGTTTGCACCAATGTTACCAGGCTTCAAATATGGAACATACAATGATATTGCGGGAATCAAAGACCTGGTTACGGAGAAGACATGCGGTGTGATCGTGGAGCCCATCCAAGGAGAGGGCGGCGTGCAAGTTGCGACGCAGGAATTCCTCGTTGCGCTCGCAGCACGATGCCGAGAGATGGGCGCCGTGTTGATATATGACGAGATCCAATGCGGTCTCTCTCGAACAGGAACGTTCTGGGCTCATGCTTCCCTGCCGAAATCAGCACACCCAGATATCATTACCACGGCTAAGGCACTAGGAAACGGTTTCCCGATCGGCGCGACGATTGTGAATGAGAACGTAGCGGAGAAGATCGTGGTTGGTGACCATGGGACAACCTTCGGAGGAAACCCATTAGGGTCGAGGTTGGCGCATTACATGGTCTCTCGCCTCTCTGATCCAGCACTGCAAGATTCTGTTTTGGCCAAGAGCAAGATTTTCTTGAAGCATTTCCAGCACCTGCAGCAACAATTCCCAGAACTAGTCAAGGAGATCAGAGGCAGAGGACTCATTCTGGGATTACAACTGACGCAGGATCCAACGCCGATTGTTACTGCGGCTAGGGAGAGGGGATTGCTGATTATTACGGCGGGCACGAATACGTTGCGGTTTGTGCCAAGCCTGACGATCAAGGAAGAGGAGATCGAGGAGGGGATGCAAATTCTGGAGGAGGCCATGAGGGTTGTGCTTACTCCTGAGGAGGATGTGAGTGGAAAGCAGGTTAGCGGGGAGGTGGACTCACCCAATTGATGACGAGGAATGCTTCGTGATTTATGCATGGAATGGAGAGAAGAGGTGTTTGGCGTTCGGAGAGACACAAAAGCTTGCCTTCTACATAATATCGCTTTGTTACAAGCAACATCTTTCCAAAACTTTCAAGTCCTTTCATCAGCAGTGTTGAAGTTCTGATTCTGTCTCACGACTCTATAAGTGGACCTTTCAATCTGCTAGTGTCAGATGTCACATTTCATGTTGAACCTTCCAAAGACTTCTCTTTTATTCTAGATGTTCTCCCGTCTTGCGGAACAATCATCGAAGTCTCCTTCTTTCAAAGTTGCAGGCCAAATCGAACATTCCATTTTGGGATCCCACCTTTAGCTCTCCGGCACGAGACTTGCTAGGATAGTTATACTCCTTCCTCTATCCTGAGCATTTGGAGTATCGTATTATTGTCCCCCGGTGCTCGAGTACTTTCCAAAACCTTAATTAATACTGAGTCTCATCTCTAGCGAGACACAGCTTCATCTATAAACGTGGTATAGAAGTGGTAATAGCCGGAAAATTACAAGCAGAACTCACTTGTTTGATAGGGACAATATTTTTTGTTTTTGTTAAAAAGTGGTAATTGCTTAGTCTATCCTGTCTATCCTGACCCACCCTACCGACCATATCCCAGTCCTAGGACCACACAAAACGCCAAACCCAACCAAGCTGCTTGATATCTCGAATCCACCTTGCCCGCAGCATTTTTAGATGCTGCAGTCGGCCCACCATGCCCCAAACTAGAGCTTACGCTCGAGCTCGGGCTTCCGATTGCCTTGTCAGGCTCAGTCCCTCCCGCAACTATTTCATAAGATTAGCAACGTCTCGAAAGAATCAAGGGTCTTCGAAGGAGACTTACTGGAAGCAATAATAGCACCCAAAGCCTTACTCGAAGTTGGCGCCGTGGCCAACACACCCGCCGCGGAGCTGGTCAGCTGTGGAGTAAAAGGAATCGTCGTGACTATTCCACCAGGTGCCATAATCTCCAATCCACTCGGTCCTAAAGTCACGACGTTGTTGCTGACTGTAGCCACTGGTCCTCCAAACGTTACTGCCTGAGTTCCAACCCAGACCACAGATCCTCCAGCTGCAGCAGAAACCGTGTTACCGCCCACAGTACCGATGATTGCCTTGGGGGGAGCCGGCGCAGCGGTAGGGAGTGCGAAAGTCGAGATACTGCCACTTGGACCCTGGATAACAAGGCCGCTTGCTCCAAGACTCGCAACGTTGTTCGAGCCCGAAAGCGTAACTGCGCCTCCCCCAGATTTGATTGTTTGGCCACCGATCACAACACTCGAGTCCCCTGGTGCAGCTGATACGACCTGGCCTGCAATTGTGGCAATCGGTGTTGAAGGTGGTGGAGGAGGTGGAGGTATTGTTGGGTTGGCGAAGAAGCTTGTTGGAGCTCCTGAACTTGTGCCTCCGATGAACACTCCTGAGGAGCCCACTGAGACTACGACTGGCTTGCTGTTCGAGTCCGTGAGCGTTGCTACTGAACCTGGTTTTGCGGTTGAACCGTTTGGCAGTACGACGCCCGAGGAACCGGGAATAGCGCTGATGGTTTGGCTTCCTACTGTTGCAATTCCGGTGGCTGATGTGGGAACTTGTACCGGGGGTGTTGTTGCAGGAGGAGCTGGCTGATTATTTGAGACAGGCGTTGCTGGAGGAGCTGGCGAGTTATTTGAAGCAGGTGTTGCTGGAGGAGCTGGTGGATTGTTCGAAGCAGGCGGGTTTCCAGAGTTTGGAGGAGGCGAAGGTGTGGCAGGGTTGGTTGGAGGAGACGTTGGAGCCGCAGGTGGTGGGGCTGGAGAAGTTTCTGCCACAGGAGCGGTGGTTGGGAGAGCACTTGCGGGTTCATAGGTTGAAGTGTATGCAGCGGGAGGAGTTATTGGCAACAGTCCACTGACGGGAGGAACTGCTCCAGGAGGGTCAAAAATTCCGTAGGTATAGTTGTCATTTCCACAATGCGCCCAATATGGGCTAGAAACACGTCAACATTCCATTAATAAATATTGGTTGAGGAAAACTTACTATCCCAGACGCTTGATTTGAATGGGAAACTCGAATCTTGGGTGGCACCTGTTATACATGCCGTAGACGGGATGCGTGTTGACATATGCGCCGTCTGTGGAGAATGTCGCGTACGTGTTTTGACAGTCGCTGGTAAGATCACTTAATGTAAGTGGAATAGGTGGTCCCATTCTTGTTGTAACTGTGTGGTCTGCGTAGGGTTGCAAGGTGAGGACATCTGTGAGATCCATTGAGATGACTTGGTTGGCAAAAGTAGGACCCAATGGGCCGCAACTATTCTCTCCCGTGACAGTGTTGACTCTCATGTAAATTGACGGGGAAGTCCTTTGCTTTGTATTAGCCGATTGATTCGGGAAAGGCGAATAGGTAATGCGAGGATATGAGAGCTCTCACATGGTCACACCAAAATCAGTATCAAAATACTCGGTATAGGTCTTGTTCTCAAATATTCCCCAACTCTCTGGGAAGTAACTCATAGCAACCGTTCCGGCAAAGCTGCAATTCCTTATCAGCAAAATTCCTATTCTTTTTCAAAATACGAGTCCTACATGGCACATGGCGTCCATTGTATCACACCACCCGAAGCTGTCACGGAACAAGTGTTTATTGGAATGCTTTGATCTCCCCAAGGATAAACTGGTGCGGATGTAATGGTACTAGAATAATTGGCTGTGCTCGAACTCGAAAGAAGTGTTGGCGTGGGTGTGACGGTAGCCTTTTCCTTGGTCGAACTCGAACTCAAACTCGAGGTCGTTGAGTTCGAGTAGATAGCTGAGCGTAGCTCAATTTCTATTTCATACAGGGTCAGTCATTCACGACCTGATTATGAATATTGCTAGCGATTCTGCAGGAGAAGGGTTGCAAGCAACACCCAAATGACTTACTTGAAGCCTCACATAAAGTTGCCGCATATGACGCTGCAAGAA